GTGAGTCACATCCCTGCCCTGCCCCCAATGATCCTACGGGTGCTCGAGGTGCATCTGCAGCACAACCCATCTCACCACGGTGCCCCTCCCCAACACAAGGGGCCATCGGGCCACATCGTGACCAGGACCGCAGGCTCAACCAGAGCTGGTCCTCACTGCTCACTGCCCTGACCCCCACAGTCCCCCGCTCCCTGCAGCCCTTCAGCTGAGCCAGGTATGCTCTGCCTCATGGCCTCTGCATGTGCCCTTCATCTGCTTGGTGGGTGAAGAATCTGCCTACAATGCAGGAGACCCCGGTTCCATCCCTGGGTCGGGAAGATCCTCTGGAGAAGGAAATGGCAACCCACTCCAGTATTTTTGCCTGGACAATCCCATGGACAGAAGAGCCTGGCAGGCTACAATCCATGAGGTCACAAAGAGTCAGACACGACTGAGCAACTAACACTTTCTTTTCTTCACCTGCTCACAAGACCTTCCTAGGTCACCTGCTCCAAAGCCTCGCCCCACATCCAGCAACACTGCCCACCCCCCAGCCCATGCCACCACCTCTCTCCTCCCCTACACATGTTACAGGCCAGCATGCCATGCATCTCACACAGGAATCTCCCAAAGGCCAGGCACTTCTTCAGTTCTGTTCACCAGCACAGGGCTTGGCACCTGGTGAAGTGTGCGGCCCACAGGAAGTGCCCAGAAGGTACTTGTAACAAACGGGTGGACGCGGAGCGCCTGGCTGGTGCAGCAGCCACTCTGAGACGTGTCCAGAGGCAGTGGAGACAAACAGGCAGAGGAGGTGTGCAAGACGGTACAGGAGGCAGAGGACAGCTGGAAGAACAGGCAGAGGGCAGACAGAAGGAGCGATGGTGGGTGGAGATGGATGTAATTATGGATGGATGGATGCAGGAGGTAGGTCTGGAGGAGGGTATGGCAACCCACTCCAGTATTCCTGCCTGGAGAATCCCACAGAGGAGCCTGGAGGGCTACAGTAGTCCATGGAGTCGCAAAGAATTGGACATAACTGAAGACTAATACCATTACTACGTGGAATCATTATGTTCTCACATGAAAGGCCGGAGGAGTCTGATGACCAGAACCAATCCAGTCATGTCCTTGGACCCACCCATCCCTTCACCATTAGTGCTTGTCTCTTAGTAGGTTCCCACCCAATTCCCCTCAACACACCTGCCTCAACACAGTCACAGCTAGCAGTAGGGGCAGCTGGGGTGGAGCTGGTCCCCCTGCAGAACCAGGTGGCCTCTGCCTCTGCTGGGCCCCGGCTCCCAGAGCAGGTGGGGCAGCTGGGCACTGAGCCCCCAAAGGGCTAGCTGAGACAACATAACAGAGAGGAATGACAGCCAGGGAGGAAAAGGGGGTCCAGGAAAAAGAGGGCTGACCTAGTCTGAGTCTGAGAAGTGGGGGGGGCTGCTGGGTACCTGGAGCAAGCCGCACCTGCTGGCCTCTTTCTGTTCCAGGAGCTCCAGCAGCCACTGATGATGTCAGCCCGGTCCAGCCGGGCCTTGACCTCTGAACATCTGTTAGGAGAGTAATAGGCCATGGTGTACCAGCAATGAGTCCCCAGAGGGGCCTGTTCTCGGGAAGCTTTGACTCCTGCGTCGTGTCTGGGCCCCAGGGGTCTCTGTCCTGCCCAAAGTGCATGGAGGTAGCTAGAGGGGACTGCAGGACAGCCCCCTCCAGAAGGGGGTGCAGGTGAGCTGTGGGGTGAGGGGGGTAGCAGTGTCCACACTTGGCTGCATGAATGTGGGGGCAGATTCCCAGCAGGACCCCCAAGTGTGGGGCCAGGAGCCAAAGGGCCACGTGCCCCTGAAAGCCCCCTGAGACCACTTCCTCCGGGCACCATAGTTCACCCGGCCCGCCTGAGACAGCAAATTCTCTGCAGCTCCTCCTCCTCCTCAAGATGAAACCACATTTCTGTCAAAAGGAAAACAATGAAAATGATGTTTCAATTTAGAAAACAAAAACGCTAGAAACAGAAGCAGCTGCTGTCTCCCGCATGCCCCGGTCAGGAGGCATCTTCTGGGGTTGAACTCCAAACCGGCATCATGGTTTCCAGTCACCAAGCTCAGGGCCGGTCTCATGAGGACACAGGCCTACTCGGACGCAGGGCAGGGGCTCCCCATGTGGGGCCCCTGCAGCTTGGAGCAAAGCTGACTTCCAAATGCAGACCAGTGAAACCTCTATACTTTCCAAAGCCTGAGATCAGGGGCGGCTCGGAGTCTGGGAGGTGGGGAACCCGCGGCAGTTCTGGTCCCGAGTGAAAGGCACTTCCCCTGCCCCACCCCGTGCCCACCCCCTGGCAGGAGTCCTGGGTGGGGTGTGGGCATCACTCCTGGCCAGTGCACCTGAGTTGATGACCAGCAGGTCTTTCAGGGGCCATGGCCTCAGGAACCCACTGGACTTTGGCTGAAGGTGTGGGGGAGCTGGAGGTTCACAGAGGTACTGACCCTACCATGACAGGAACCCCCAATCCTGTGTCCCACAGACAAATCTGTACAAAATCTGAATTCTCAAAAAAAAACACCAAAAAGGGAGAGTCAGTAGCAGCCAGAGGTGCTGGCCTGGCCATCATGTCGGCTGGAGGAGGAGCTGAGGAGGGAGAAGGAGGGTCCTGAGAGGGCGGCGTCCAGCCTGGACCATGAAGAGCCAGAGCATCAAGACGGCTGGCTCCAGCAGGCCTGCCTCCCTGGGGGGACTCTGCATCTTCCCCTGGCCTGAAGACCCTGGGGCCACCTTCTCAGAGGAAGCAGGCCTCCTGGGGTCTCCCACAGGCCAGGTGGGCCCCCAAGCCACCCACCTCCATGCCAGGGTGGGGGGCAGGCAGACAGAGGTGCTTGTAGAGGTGCTATGAGGCTGCCCCCACGTGCCTCACACCCCAAGGAGGGCACCTTTCCCCCTGGGGCCTCAGTGTCCCCCGTGGGCCCTCCTCCTGCCCTCTGACTTCTGAAAGGGTGGCAGCATCGGCTCCGGATGGTCCACTCATGTAATGGACATTTACTGAGTGACAAGCACAAGCCTGAGTCCTGAGTCAGGAACCACCAGAAACACAGAACGTCTTCCCTCCTTGACTGGAGTCTGGAGCCACAGACAAGACGCAGAGACAAAGAGATGAGAAAGGTGGGGGCACCTGCCCTCCGTTCAGCCCACTTCCCTGTAGAGCCTTGGCAGGCACAGCCCCTCAGACCAGCAGCAGCAGCCTCACAGTCAGCACAGGACAGAGCCTGGCACAGGCAGCGCCTCCTGGCCTCCCCTCCCGCTGGTCCGTGGGTCGCCCAGGATGCTGCCGAGGAAGGCCTCCCTTCTCCACATCCTGGGCAGGCCGCCGAGTCTTGGTGCCAGGCAGGTGGCGAGGCCAGCTGTGGAGAACCACCTCCCGCCACCCCAAGCAGGGCTTCCTGGAGGGTGCAGGGGGACCAGCCTACCAGCCTGGCGCCTGTGCAGCGTGGCCAGCTCACTGCAGACTCGAGGCACCCTGGGAACCTTGGTCCTCGGAGCATCAGCAGGGGTCTCTGGGCTTGTTTCAGCCAGATCACTGGGGCATACGCCAGCTGCCCAAGGCCTCTTCCTTCTTGCCCCATCCCTGCAGGGAACAGCCAGCCACTGGGAACAACCCGGGGCCTCTCTGATGGAAGAGCCAGGCTGGGTTGGGCACAGGGGGCCTTGGGAGATGGGTGGGTGGTGGCTCCAGTAGGCCCTCTCCTCAGGCTGGGACCTGCCTCGGCCCCTCAGTAGGCCTGGGAGCGGCCGGGGCAGGCAGCGAGCCAGGCAGTGACCCGCACTGGCCACAGTGGCCCCCGCCCAGGCTCCTCTTGGCGGGAGGCCCAAGGTCTCGAGGCGCAGGCGGGTGCCCACTGCCATGGCCAGGGACGTTCTCTGGTGGAAGCTATAAATAGGACTGTCATCAGTCGGAGGCAGCCTGACCGTGCGCCAGATGTACGGTATACTGAGCCAGCAGGCCAGCCCTCCTACCCGTTCTCCTGGTCACTGCCCATAGGGGTGTCACCCCTTTCGTCCTGCTGCCCCCCGCCCCGACACCGGGAGAGGCTCTCCCACGGATGGGGCTGCAGAGCCCAGCAGGGTGGACCAGATGGGAGTCCTGCCTCCAGGGGCAGCCTGGAGGAGCGCTGCCCAGCTCCCACCCCCTCAGTGCTCCCTGGCCCTCCCCCCTGCACAGGTGCCAGCCTGGCCACAACAGTCATGGGGACCTCTGCACCAGGTCAGGCCAGGCTGGCCCTCCAGGAGTTTCCCATCCTGTGGGCTCATCCGTGGTGAGCTCCTCTTGAGGACACCGCTAGAATAGACGGAGCAGACATGAAGGGTAGCGATCAGGCAGATGCCAGGGTCAGGGCTGGGGTGCACCTGGGCACCATGCAAGTACTGATTAGGCAAGAACCTGCTGGCCAGCGTTACACTGGAGGGCTGGGAAAGGAGCTGGCCAGCTGTGGTGAGCTGGTGGAGGGCAGGAAGCCAGTGGGGTGGGGGTGGGGGGGGTCCATGTGTTGAACAGTGCCAGAGAGAGGTAAGCTGTGTGGACTAGGGGTTTACCATCCTGATGACGGAGAGGCTTAGGGACAGAGATAATCAGGCCTAGAGAAAACAAGGAGGGAGTGTAACGCAGGGGGAGCAGGTCACTACGGCCTTCTTTGGTCACATCCTTCAAGGTCCATCCCACCTCCCACCCTGGCTGCTGGGGTGCCCTGGGGTTGCCCCTCCAGAGGAAGTGCTTAGCCGCCTAGCAGTGACTAGGATAAAGTCCGGCCTGGATGAGAGACCTGGATGGGGAAAACTGCAGAGAAATGGGGCCCAGAGCCTGTACTGAGTGGGGCACGGTTTTGACACTGGGATGCTTTTCCACAACAGTGGGATCGCGGTCCCAGAATTCAAGGAATTTTAAAGGATCGGGTTTTCCTTCGAACCGGCATACTAAGCAAGCGACCCCCCCCACCACAGAAAAACAGCATCCAAGCTGAGCTGAACCCCCTATTCGAATGTGGACCCCAGGGCGCGCCCCTCCCCGCGCTCGGCCGGGAGCTGCAGTTCCCACCTCCGCCGCCGGGGGCCGCGCCGACACCCCTCCCGACCCCCCCAAACCTAGCTGCACTCAGACGCGTGGACACGTCAGCGCCCGTCCGCCCCCGCAAGGAAGACGCTCAGAGAACCGGGGAGCCACCACCCTACCCCTGAGCGAGGGCTCGCTCCAGCGCAACGTGCCCGCGAGGCGCCGCCTCCCCAGAGTACCCCTCTCTCTCCCGCCATCCCAATTCTCCCCGGCGCGCCGGGCGGGAGGTGGTCACGGCGCTCAGGACGCGGTGGGAGGGCGCACTTCCTGCGGCCCGCCCCCTCCTTCCCGAGCGCGCGCCGCCTCCGGGCCCCCGAACGGCGCGCCCAGGCTGCGGGGTGGGGGTTGTCGCGGGCCGCTAGACCCCCAACGGGGCCTGAACCTGATCCGCCCCTCGCGGGGGAGGGGATCGATCTTGCGGCGGCGGGGTACCGCGCGGCCCCACCCCCCGGTGCCGGCGCAGGCGTGGAGAGGAGGGGCCTGTGGGGGGGGGCGGGCCGCCCCGTCGTAACCCCTTCGTCGACCCCGCCCCACGGCCGGAAGCGCCCCCGTGCCCACCCCCGTCGGAATCCGAGGCGGACTGAGCCCCGCGCCCCACGCCGGGCAGGGGGAGGAGAAGTGAAACCGGGCAGCGGAGCCTAGGGGCCGCGTCGGGGTTTCTGCAGACGCGTCATCGGAAACTGGGGCCGCGGGGCGGGGGCCCGGCAGCCGCGCGGCCCTTCCGGACCCGGCCGCCAGCGTTCCCGGTGACCCCGCCCTTCCCGGGAAGCCCCTCGGCCGCGGACTGGGGCGCAACACGCGCCCCTCCCCGGCCCTGAACAGCCTCGCTGGATCGCAGAAGGAAGCTTCGCGGAAGGAAGTGGGGGGAATCTGCCTAGTCCCCAACTGGGGCGTGGCCTTCCTGGGGCGGGCACAGCCCGCCCCCCAGGCTTCTGGCACCGCCCATGAGGGGCGCACACCCTCTCGGTGACTCACTCCGGCGGTGACACACACTCTGCCTGACTCACTGGGCGTCGTGCCCCATACGGACACCGCGTGCTGGGGTGTATCTCGGGTTCACGTTATGTACTCCCATCGGTGCGTTTGCGGGGCGTCTGAGGCCCGCGTGACTTGGGAGAGGCCTTCTGGGGTGCCGTGCAGCCTTGGGGTGTGTCCAGCCTCTGCCCAGTAGGGCGTAGCCCCCGTACCCGCCGCCCTAGACTCGGCACCGGGAACCTGGAGCCGCGTGCAAGGGAGGTGGCAGAGGGGCTCAGGTTCACCCCAAAACGGCCTGCAACCATTCCCCACCCCCGGACCTGCGCACCCTCCCCAGCCCGGCTTCCGGCCAGGCCGGAAGGAGCAGGAATTTGGAATGTTTGGAACAGGAGTTATAATTCTCCCGAGGCTTCTCCGCTCCCGCCCGCCCTCCGCCCAGAGGGGGCGGGGCAGAGGGCCGGGCCTAGTCTGCCTCAAGGGGGTAGTACTCCAGGGCTGGGGGCAACCCTGGCGTCTGGCCGGGTCGCGCGATCTCACGGGTTCTGGGGTAAATCCAGGCCGTGGGAGACCCGGGCGCCCCACGGCGCTGCCTTCCGTCCCGGGCTCCCGGCCCACCGCCTCCCTCAGGCCCGAGGGCACAGCAGGGTTGGGGTGCGCCCCGCGTCCAGGCAGGGAGGCCGCACTGGGCGGAGGATCCCGGACCAGCTGGGCCTCCCGGCGCTGGGCGTGTCCGAGCCACCGCTGTTTTCCCGCCAGGGAAGCAGCCGTGGGGAAGGCAGACACCCCCGGTGACGGACCGGTGACACCTGCCTGGCCCGCCGGCTACTGCCCTCTGCACGCAGCAACTCCCTTCCCCGCCGGCCCGGCCTTGGCAGGGAGCCTCCTCCACACACCACCAGAGCCTTTTCTGGGACTGTTTTTTCTTAGAAACAGGAAGTTGGGGTGTGGCCCACACGTCCCGCAGGTCAAGGCCCCGCCGTCGGCAGAGCATGGTGGGGGTTTGGACCCATGGGAATGCTCCACCCTGCCTAACCCCTGCAGCTCTCGGCGCCTGATCGAAGCCAAAGGGTGGACGGTGGGAGAAGAGGGGAGGGGAACAGGAGAAGCGGGACCTGGCCGCCCCAGCTCTGCAGCCCATCCGGCTGCAGCCCCACCTCTGGGTCACTCAGCCTGTCGTTGCCACCTCCACAAAGGCAGCCCCAGGCGTGTGGAGCAGGGGTACTGGTGCTCTCCTTCCATCCTTGCCACCAGGCCTGTCCTTAAACTTGAACAAGTGTGCACACTCACTGGAGCAGAGCCTGCCTGCAAGGCCAGGACACCACCAGCTCCAGACAAGGGGCCACGCCTGTCCTGGGCCTGAGGACCTGGTCTCCCATCCAGCCTCTGGGGGCCCAGCCCTGCCTCTTCTCCAGCGGAGCCCCAGGAGTTTCACTGGACAGGGTCGGGGTCTCCACTTCTGCTCTTGTCTGACACCTTGTGTTCAGGTCACCTGTCCTGGCAGTCCCACTGCCAGCCACTCAGGTGGGCGCCCCATGGAGGGATACTGTGGACACAGCCCTGGACGCCCAACCCAGCCCTCCTAGTCACTTCTGCCCACCCGGCCTAGACATGCTCAAGGTCCAGCCAGGGTCAGCAGCTACCCACCTCCACCCTCCTGGCCAGAACAGGGAGGTTTGGTTTTGCAGGCTTTCAGGCAGGCCCCCACCCCAGCCCTCGCTGTGGACCTGGGGGCCCCAGGGTGACAGAAGGTGGAGCCTAGGAGGGCTTGTGGGGTGGGCCCTACCCCGAGTCTGTGCACACTTGATCTCCAGCTGGCAGGGCACCTGGCACCTTCTGACTTGGTGTGAGAGAGGAGAATGGGGGGAGGGAACCTGAGGGGCAGAAGTGGGGACAAGGAGGGGGAGGGCAGGCACCCCAACACTCAGCTGCCAGGGTGTGGGCCCCACGGCCACACCCACAGCCTGCCTGGGTGCCCGGAGAGGGGTGGGGGGACCTGACACCACCCGCCTCCCTAGGGCTGCAGAGCTGCACCATGAGGGCTCAGCCAGGTACCTGCTTGCCCTCTCTGCTGGACCCAAGTGGCCCTGGACACACATGCTCAACCGGGCCTTACAGAGAGGGTGACCTCGAAGTCCTTCCGGCACACGGTGCCTTATCCCTTGAGGGTTCCGGAACAGGCCTCCATGGCAGCAGGAGTGACCCGCGGGAGAGCCTGGGCCAAGCTTCCTGCCAGCAGGGCGCCTGCCAGGCCAGGCACAGAGCAGGAAGACCCGACCCCAGCCCAGCCGGACACCTGACTGGAACAGGATGCTCCAAGACAAGCCAGGTCCACCTGCCTGCCCACCCCCTGCCATGGGGCCACCTGCTCCAGGGCTGGGAGTCCCGCCCAGCGGCCCCAGCCCTGGCACAGGCCTGGGCACAGATGGCCCCATGTCGGGGGCTGCCTGCAGGGCCGACATCTTCAACCCTTGGGGGCAGGGGCCAGCAGGCACCAAGGTCCCCAGAGTTCTGCCCCCGCCCTTCCCAGGGTCGCCCGTCAGCGGGCAGGACAGACACAGGAGGGTGCAGGGCTGCTGTCCCCTGAGCACAGGGGTTTCTGTGGGGAGGACACAGGATCCCCTCCATGCCCTGGTTTCACATCCTGCTGACGGCCACACCGTTTCCTGAGGGCACAGACTAGCCTGGGGCCTAGGCCAGAGGCACAGACCAGCACGGCTTTTTCCCTGTGGGATTCCACTTCCCTGCAGCGGGTCATCCCCTCCCTGGTGAGCATGGTGTGGGGAGAGGCCTTGGGACGTCGTGAAGCAGCCTGATTTGACCTGGACGTTCTCGTGGCATGTTCCAGCCGTCCTCTTCCTGGCCAACAAGGAGTGACCCTGGGACAAGACTACCAGAGACGAGGGAGCGGGTAGTGGGGGTTAAGAGCAGGCTGGGGTCTGGGGCCAGGTGGGCCAGGGAGGGGGCTGCTGGCCAGAGTTGGGCTGTGCTGGGGGTGTGGGTGGGGTGGAACTGGGGGCCACACTGAGGGCCAGGGGTCAGAGGAGGGAGGACAGGCTGTGCCCGCTGTTCCTGTAAAGGGCAGGCGGCTTCCTCTTTCCACACGGCGCGCCTGCCACCCGCCTCCCCAGACAAGGGCCCAGCTCTCGGCCTGCGGTCAGCCCCCTTGACCACAGGACGCTGGGTGGGGGCGGGAGGGCCAAACTGAGGCTCTGGGGCCGGCAGCCTAGGGGAGGGGTGGAGACCCCAGGACAGAGATGGGCAGGCACAGCTGAGAGCCCAGGATGCTGGGGTGGGGCCCCGGCTGCCTGTGACTGAGCAGAAGTGAAAGCTGGGGGTGGGGGCCACAGGGCAGGGACAGAAGCTGGGGAGCTGAGTAGGTTCCCAGGAGCACCCCTGCCCCAGGCTCACTTCATCCTAAGCCTCAGGGGAGGGGCCTGGGAACCGGCACCAATGTGGGCAGGGGGGCACAGGCCAGTCTAGGGGACGGGACCAGGGGGTCCCTACAGAGGCCCTGGCTGGTGTGGCAGTCCCGAGCCTGGGGACCAGAAGTGGGGGTGGGGGGCTGCCAGGAATCCCCAAGGAGGGGCCCTTTTCTCCCTGAGGCCCTCTGACCCCTTCAGCGAGGGCTCAGGAAAGGGGTTTTAAGGTCAGACGGCCCCTACTCTGTCTTCTCTGGGCTGGGGTGCCCAGGGCCCTTTAGTGCTGGCAGGTCACATCCAGAGGTGAAAGGTCACATCCAGAGATGAAGGCCGGAGAAGGTGATGAGCCTGGAGTCCCAGGGACTGCGCTTGGCCCAGCTCCAAGGCCCCTCGCGACAGGCTAAGCACGCTGGCTGTGAAGACTCTGACTGCACACGTGTGCCCATGCACACACACGCACGCGCGTGCGTGCACACACACACGGCCCTCCAGCAGGCTCCCCAGCATCCCTCAGGGACACCTCCTCCCCACCCGCACCTCCTTGTGGTCAAGACCTCAGGTGAGACATGGACCGTCAGAGCGGTGAGCCAGGTGGAACGAGGCCCCCCAGGTGGAGCCAGGAGGCTCCAGGTGCTGGGCACAGATGAGGAAAGGCCCTTGCACCCATCTCTGGGGACAAGCTTAGGCTGAGGAGCACGTGGTGTCTGGATGGGGATGAGTGGTGGGGATGGGGCCCTGCGGGGATGGGGGGGTCTGGACATGGACAGTTGCCCCCCCATCACACTGCCCACTCTGCTGGGCTTCGTGCAGGTCAGGTCTTGAGGAAGGTGTGTGTATTTGGCATCACAAGTGAACAAGGCTTCAGCTGCTCTTGACTTGCACCCACACTTGCAGGGGCGCCCCTGGGACCCTCTACAAGCCAGTGGACAGCTGTCCACTCAGAGACCTGAGAAGACAGTACTGGATGGTGCCCTGGATGTCTGGGCATAAGGCAGTGGTCAGGAGGACAAAAGGGCTGCCCAACCAAGTAATGGGGACATGCAGTGTCTGGTCGCTGACCTTTCTCCCCTACCCTCCCACCCTGGGCACAGGGGGCCAGGAGTGCCCAGGGGCCGTGCTCACCTCACCTCATGCAGGGCAGTGCCCAAAGGTCCAGCCCTGCCGGGGCCCTCAGCTCAATGGGAGTAAGACCCAGGTGACACCTGTGTCTAGGGGGCAGAGGGTGTGGGGGCCCTGGTCATGCCCCATGAGTGGGGTCGGTCTGTCACCCACACCTCGGGGCCCCTGCTTCCCTTCCCCTGACCTGTCCCCAGCCTGACCTTTCAGACCCAAGGTGAAGCCCGGCGACCCTGGGCCCCGCTGCCCCCTGCCTGGCCTAGGTGGAGTCCCACCCCTGGGTGGGGTGGAATCTGCTTCCTTGTCCACACCAAAGCCCATCCTGCTTCCCCCCAGGGGCTCCAGGGGAACACCACTGGGCCCAGCTCTGGGGGGCTTACTAAGGATGGGGGAGGAGGTAGGGACCCAGGAGGTCTCCCAGGCTGAGGTCTGTTCCTCCAGGTGACCTGTGAGGCCCTGGGATCTGGGCTGAGAGGCTGGGCCTGGGTGGTGAAAAGCAGCCTAGCGAGGTGAGGTCCAGCATCAAGGGGCAGGGGGTCTGGAGAAACCCCCAGGGAGACACAGGTTGGGGAGGGGCTCCGCTTATCTTTTAGGGCAGAACATTGGGGTCTGCAGTTCTGAGGCCGCCGGCTCCCTCCCCATTAAGACATGAGACTGCTCTGCAGGGGACTGGCCACCTACTCCAGCAGGCAGATGAGGCGTCCCCAGTGGATGCCCACAGGACAAGGAAGAGCCACAGTTTAGCATGACCAAGAGGGAGGGACAGAGGGCCCCAGCCAGGACCTGCCACTTGGCCACCAGGAGGAGGTGGAGACTGAAAGACCCCAGGGTCTGATGGGAAGACAGGCACCCCCCTTACTCCTCCTGGGCTCAGGCCTGGGTGGTGGCCCAGGGAGGGGCAGGGCCAACCTTGACCTTGGTCATGCCATGTCATCTCTTTGGGGGAGGGGGGCGTCGAAGGACTGACGGGTACACAGAGAAATAGAGAAATATGCCAAGCTCTTTCTTTTTTCTTTTTAAATCAGGCATTTATAAACAAGAAAGCATACATTAATTACATAAAAATAGTTTTCGAATAGTAGAGTAAGTCGTCATATTGTCATTAGCAGCAGCAAAGGAGAGAAGGGGACGGCGATGCGGACGCTCCTGGCGGGCACCAGGGTGGAGCTGTGGTTTTTTTTCCTTAATTGAAAAAAAAAAAGTGTCGTTTGTGACTCCTGACTTAAAGCAAGAACAAGACATCCCCCCAAGCCCGGTGAGCAGGCATGAAGGACGGGTGGGGTTGCCCAGGAAGCCGGGTGAGCCGGTGGGCGTGTTCTTCCTCTGTTAGAAACAACCCAGAAAATAGGACAGCTACCGGTAGGGAGAGAGTCCCGGGGGAGGACTCACCATGTACACGTATGATACACGAGTGTAAGAGGAGAGAGTATTTACACGATCGCTTTGTACACTGGCGAGTTCTGTACGAAAAGCAGGACACTATGTGAGTGAGTTAGCTGCTCCATAGATATGAATGTTATTGCTGTTGTTTTTTCCCTTCGTTAAAAATCTTCTTTCAGCATAGAAATAATGAGTGATTAAACTGAATACACGGTCATTCTGGTAATGGGTATTACACACGGGGAGAGTCAACAGCCTACGGAGAGATGCCTCTTCTGAAAGAAATGCAACTGCAGCTGCAAGGCGGGAGCCCGGGGACCCTGCCCCCGAGGACAGGGACGAGGACAGAGCGCCCCACGCTGGCCTCGCCCACGGCTGCCACTGGCTCTGGCAGGGACCCTCACAGTGGGCCTGGGGTGGGGAGGATGAGGCTGCCCGACCCCACGGCTGCACCTCAGCTCTTCCCGATATCAGGGACCAAGCTGGATGGTGGCGGGGCAGACCGAGCCGATGATCAGATGTACGGGTGAGCGGAAGGGAGGTGCGGAGACACACTGCCCCCATGCACAGCTTGGGAAAATGAGTCTCCCTCTGGAGTCTAAAGACTCAGGAAATGAACGGAGCAAACCCAGCGGCCTCAGGCGGCGGGTCCCGGGGGCCCTGCAACCTCACTGCAGGTTCAGACGGCGACAGAGCACAGCTGCACAGAAGCACACTGACACACTCAAAGCTTTGCTCCAACTAAATCATTTAGTTTCCCTTGAAGAAATGACTGGAAAACACAACTCTGGAAAAACAAGGGTAAACACAGCATTCTGAGTGTTGCGTGACACAACCGACCCTCTACACGACACGGTAATAATGCCCATCGGTGGATATACGTATGGCAGAGGTTTAAAAGTCCATGCATACAGATTTAATAACTGCAAAGAAAAACAGAAGCAAAAAAATTTTAAAAAAAGAAAAAAGAAAAACAACCAAACGCACGCTGCATATACACGGTGTCCCTTTTGCATTGCACTTTAGAAGGGGGGCTGGCAGCATCCAGCCCCCACCCAGCAAACCAAGGGCAGAACCCCACCACCGACGTGGTCACCCGAACTCTGCTCTACTCGGCGGCCATGGCACCACCTCCCATGGCCACAGCTGCTGGGTGCTGGGACGGATGCGAGCAGAGGGTTCTGGTCAGGTCTCTCCACGTAAATAAATACCATGATTTAGGTCAGGGAGCCACCTGGTCTACTAGGAAATCATTTTTCAAGCTTGGGCATAAAAAACCTTATACAATTCGCATACAGTTGAGAGTAAACGCGATTATTTGGAATAAATGCAGGTAACTCATTGTGATCATGGCAGATCCAACAGCTACTGGAGACGTATTCTGGGGGAAGAAGACGAGTCAGGGTTTGCTGTACAAGACGCTGGAAGGCACAGAACCACCCCCCGAAGTTCAGTTTTTGCGTTTTCGTTTTCGTGTGATTCCCTTGTTCAACCAAGCACCAGAGGGGTTTCTAGACACTCGAGCACTTAGGATGTGGATGCTCTAGAAATCGGTTTGCAGTATCTGAAAGTAAAAACCTCAGTTAACTGGGGAATAAAAAGAGAAGGGGAAGGTTTTTGACAAAGTGCAGTTCTAAGTATACGTTTAAATGAACGAACAAACAAAAGGAAAAAGAAAAACTGAAATAATGCTGTGTTTGTTGCAATGCTGCAGCCTCGGCCCAAACAGAAGGCGCACCGCCGGCCAGATGGAGGGGCGCGAGGAGGGCGCGTGCCCGGCCAGCGCAGACCCGCCTCCGCCGCCCCCCCAAGCACCCCTGCAGACGCCCCTGCAGGCTGCCAGCCGGACGGAGGGGCGCGTGGAAGAGGGCACATGCCCGGCCAGCGCAGACCCGCCCCCGCCGCCCGCCCGAGCACCCCTGAGGACGCCCCTGTGGACGCCCCTGCGGGCGGCGAGGGCGGTAGGCGGGTAAGGCGGCAGTGTTCCAGCTCGCGTGCGCGCGGCCCTCCCCGGGTCCTCCCCCGACAGTGCGGGAGACGGGTCCTTGTCGCTGAAAAAATAGACTCTGGAGAAAAACCCTTCGTGTGGTCACGCGGCCGCGGGTGCAGACGAGCTGCGATGGCTTCGAGGGGCAGGACGGGGGCCACCCCGGCTCCCACGTGGGTCCTCGGGGGGCATCACGTGTGGGTGGGGCTTTTAAAAGTTAGTCATTAAAAAACGTGTTGATTTTTCTGAATATCAAGTCTCCTTATTGGTTTTAAATAGCTTATAACAAAAGTGTAAATGTTAGAACGTTCCGGCAAGCGGAGGGCCAGCCACAGCCACCGAGCTGGCCTCATCTCCGGGGCAGTTGGGAACCGGCTTGCACGTTTGAACTTGGCCAGTAGAAAATTTTGCAGTGGATTCCAAAAGTATGTGGTTCCAAACACTTGCTTGGTTCTAGGCACAGTAAGACGTTGTGCTATAAGGACTGGAGGGGGGCGCCCCGCTGGCACGGAGCCCCAACCCCGCCGCCCGCCCGCCCTGCGGCATCCGCCCTGCGCAGCAGACAATGGGTTCCACTAGGGCTCCAGCTCAGCCGTGCTCTCGCCACCTGTAGCCTCAGAGCGGGGCCGCGGCCACAGCTGCTCCTGCAGCCCCTTCACCACCTTCTCCAGGTGTTCCCGGGCCTCCCGCTCTCGCAGCAGGTCGGCCCGCAGCTGCTCACGATCAGCCTCTGCATGCTGCAGCTTCACCTGCAGGTCCTCGATCTGAAAGGGACGCCTGCATTAGCCAGCTGCTCCCCACCCACCCTGATGCTGCCCTGGCCCCGGGCTGACCCTCTGGCCATCACAGGCTCGCCTCCCATGCCACCCACTGGACCTAGGCTGGTGAGTTCAGTAGGAGGACCAGCACAGTCTCCAGAGACCCTGAGACAGGGGACAACACCCACCCCCCATCCCTGGGAGCCTGCTGCCCAGCCCCGGCCCCCAGATGGCAGGATGGCCAATGGGAACTGGCTGAGACTTTCATGGGCATGTGAGGATGAGCTCAGCCCTCCTCCAGGACAGGAGAGCCTGGGGCCACAACACTACTCCATGGAGGACGGGCCCAAAGCCCAGCAGCTCCCCACACCCAGATGGCCCGGCGAGGAGGGGAGGGACCCTGAGATGCCAAGGCGCGCCCGCAGCCTCTGCCTCCCGCGGCTCCCTGCGCACCTGGGCCGAGTACTTGGCCCTCAGGCGGCCAGCCTCGCAGCCCTTGTCACACACACGGGCTTGCCGCGCCTGCTCCAGCTCCCGCTTCAGGCGCAGCCGCGCCTCGTTGGCCTCCTTCATCTTCTTCTCGTTCTCCGCGCGGAGCCGCTCGATCTCCTTCCGCAGGCTGCGCTTGGCCTCCGTGGCCTCCCGCAGCTTCTCCTTCTTGGCCACGCGCAGGAACTCCAGCTCCTGGGGTGAGGGGCCAGCTCAGGGATGCCCCCACACCAGGCCTCCCCAGCACCCGCCTGCCCCACAGGTCCCTGTCCCCTCCAAGCACTGCCCACAGCCCCCAGGGGTATCCTCAGAGCCAGGGAGGGGCTGACCCAGGCACCACACCATCTGAGGGCCCCAGAGGCCCCATGGCCAGATAGAGGGGAGGTGGCCCTTCTGGGGACTCAGCCCCACCCCCGCAAACATGCTCATGAATATGCATGTGGGAAATCACACCTTCAACCAGAACCAGGCAGATGGAGGGGTGCTAAGCGAGCAAGTGGTTGCAAGTGGGCTCTGGGGCTGGCAGGGCTGTGCTGAGGAAGCCTACATGCCAGACATTGGCTGAGGTGTGAGAGCAGAAAGACCAGGGGGCCCAGGCCACAGAGCCCTGGGTGATAGCCCCGCCCTCCCGAGTGCTGAGGACTCATCATCAATCAAGTCAGGTGGGCAGAGAAGGCCAGCAGGAGCCTCTTGGAAAGCAAGTAAGTGCCCCGGGGGAGTGGCCTGGGGCCCGGTGTGGGGACGGGTGTGCAGCCGCTCACCTGGTGCAGACTGCGCTTGGCCTGCAGGGCAGCGCTCAGCTTCTCCTCCTGCTTCACACGCATCTTCACCACCTCGTGCAGGAACTTCTCTTTGGCTTCCTTGGTGTCCAGGCCGCCCTCCAGGGCCTGCCGCAGGTGCTCAAGCTCCGCCTCCAGCCCGCTGCTCGGGGCATCGGCAGGGGCTGCGGCATCGGGGGCGGAGGGGGCCACGGGCGGGGCGAGCAGGCCCGGGGAGCTCAGGTCCTTGGCGGAGCTGGATGAGGTAAAGGATGGAGAGGACAGCGAGGACAGGGAGGAGGTGACTGCAGAGACAGACAGATGGAGACGCAAGTTAGCAGAGCGTCCTCTCCCGGGACGGGCCCCTCCCGGGAGGACCGACCAACCCCAAGGGCAGAAGGGCATGGGCACTCACACTCCTCTCGGCTCTCCACCTCCACCTCGGCCTCCGAGTCCTTGTCCTCCTCGGGGGCGGGCCCAGGTGCTGGCGTCTCCGGGGCTCCAGGGGTGTCCGCAGGCAGCTTCCGCTTCCGGGGCTGGATGCAGGCGGGGAGGGGCTCGGGGGCCCGGGAGACTACTGTGGCGCAGGGCGGGCTGCTCACTGCCTTGTGCTGGGCTGGCGGGGCCAGGGCCACGTTGGGGGCCACGCCCGTCTCAAAGCTCTTGTAGGAGTAGAAGCTGTGGGGACAGAGCAGGCGCTGGACCCTGGCCCCTGCACGCGCCCCCCCATCGCAGGCCCTGCTCCCGCAGACAGCGTGAGGGAGCGGACACTTCAGTCGGGGGCAGCTGGAACACGGCCCCCAGCCGCCGTACGTGGGACAGGCCACACCAGCATTGTGTGCCGCCAACTTCAGAGCACAGAAAATCTAGACACCCTCCCCTATACCCCCAAAGGACCAGCACTTCTGCGACTGCCTCGCCCAGAGAACTGGGGCCTGACACGAGGCCTCCAGACCGCCTGCCCACCAAACTCAGGGACGATAAAAGCAGGAACCTGCTTCTCTGGCTGGTCCGCGAGCCCTGTGGGTCACGGCTGGTGGTCATGGTGGGTGGGCACTCACCTGTCTCGAATCAGGGCCGGGAGGTGCGGGGAGAGCTCTTTGTCACTCGCAGAAACCGCAGGGGACCAGGGTCGGAAGGCGGATAGGCGCTGGCGAGGGTGGACACAGCCCAGGCTCTGTGGGAACAGGGGCTGTCAGAGGGGGGCCCCAGGCCACCCCGCCCCCGCCCCGCCTGCCAGGGCCGCACGCCACACCTTGCTGGAGGAGCCGGCCAGGGTCCGCAGCCAGCCGGGCTGCTTGTCCTTCTCGGAGGACGTGGGGTGCTGGGAGGGGGTGTCATCTGCTTTTCTTACAGAGGCCGGGGGGTCAGAGACCTGTGAGAGACACAGAAATTCCCACTGACACGCTGGGTAGGATGCAGCCACACACGAGGCATGCCCAGGGACATGCAGACCCCTCAGGCACACACTGCATGGTGCACCTGGCCCTACGCGGGCCTGATAGCTGGCAGAGGCCAAGGACCCACAGCACGTTAGTTCAGAAGGGACCCCTGCCGCTCCCCCTGCCCAACTCGGGCTGACAGGTCTGGAAGGGGCAGCGGCGGGCAGCCTCGAGGGCTGAGCACAGGGCCTTCTTGGGGCCGCCCAGAGCTTACCAGGGGCGTCACACGTAGCGCCCCCAGAGCCCTGGATTTCACCACATGGTACTAATTTTAGAAGCTACTTGTGGGGCTGGACCAGCTGCATGACGGGTGAGCAGAAAGCTCGGGCCATGCTCCGTCCCTGCTGAAAGGAAACAGCCCCAACATGAACTGAGTGTACTCAGCCCGCTGAGAAAGCCCCTGGACGTCCCCAAGTCTCGTGTCAGGGAAAGAAGCTTGGGACACAGCCTCATGTCTGCTACATACTGTAGCCGGAGTGGCCTCCAGGGCTGGTGTCAAACTGCCCCCTGCCTGCTGGCCCCGGGGAGCACCTGGAGAGAATACCAAACCCCAGAACTGGCCCTGAGGGGCCAGTGCTTCCAGGTCTGTGGGGGAGGAAGTGGTTGGTCAGCTGCCGTGCTCAGCAGGGTCATCACAACAAAACTCAAGGGACGGAGCCAACTGGGTGCAAGGCCGCCAGGGCAACAGAGCCCACACTTCTGGGTGTGTGCAGGGGCCACTCCCAACCCCACTGCCGAGGCTCCCTAACTCCACTCCAGGAAACGCGCAGCCCTCGGGCCCAGACCCATGGGGCTGGGCAGCATGCTCTGGCCTTGGTCCCAGGACAGGGTGGCTGCCCCCTTGGCCTGCCCCCCCAGCCCCTAGGAGACTGGTCGAGGGTCCTTCAGACAGCGTGGACAGACAACTCAGACCTGAACACACTTGGTACTCTTGGTGGGGGTGTGGAGGGAAAAGGAGTTGGGTGATGCCTGGGGACCTCCCAAGCTTGGTGCATAGCGCTGGACCGGGCGCCGCCCGCAAGGGTGGGGCTTCCTGTCTGAGCCGAGTTCTCACGGGAGAGAAGCCACAGCGCCCTGCCGGCTCCTCCGATTCCGAGAAACCTCAGGGAGCCCTCGTGGGAGGTGTCAGACGACCCAGGCCGCAGGCCACCCCCACGTGGCCAGCAAGCCCCACCACACGGCGGGGGCGGCTTCCTGCTGAGGAGAGAGGCTGGAGCCTCCTGCCCCCCAACCTGCCTGAGCCCTGGTCCACCCGGGATGCAGGAGCCGAGCAACCTCGGGGACTCCGTCCAAGGAAAGCCCAGTGCGCTCTCCACAAAGTCCAGCTGGCTGGTTATGGGAATGAGGAAGCAGCAGAGGAGGAGGCATGGCCACCAGGGCCCAAGGGAGTGACCCCTCTTCAAAGCCCAGGAAGGATGGGCCACGGAGATGGCAGAAGGTCGGAGACACAGCCACGTGTGCGGTGATAGCCGCATGGCCACCTCTGTGAGGGGGCGAGCCTGTGGCCTCTAGCTCCTGACCCTGCTGGACCCTGGAAAT